TCAGAGACTGATTTTTCTAAAAAGGGGTAAATGAAAGGGGTTACCAACGATCCGTGGGTACCTCTGATGTGCCAGGCTTTGTGCTGGCACTTTCATATCATCTGTTCACATTATCTCTTTTAATCCTCACAGTTATACAAAACTGGGGCTATCATCATTATTTGACAAATGAGTAATAGAGAATCAGCAAGATTTAGTAACTTACCATCACATAGGAATGAAGTGTTACAGCCACGTCCTAACCCATACCCATTTAAAAGCAAAGCTGTTGTTCCTTCTGCTGACTCACATGGGACCACTGTTCTAAATGCGAAGTTAGATTCAGACTTTAACGATGTCCAGGAGTAATAGACTCTTGTTCAATATATAATTAATAAATATTCAGTGACTTCTAGGTACTCAGAAATATGCTGTGTCTAGCACTAGAAGAGTTATTGAGCGGTAGCTTAAGTGAGCGTTTCCGTTGGGGCCGTGAGCACTGGTATACAAACTGGAGATTTATAAAAATTGTCCTATTCTACTTCCTGTTTACTCACAAACAGCCACCTTTGGAAAATTCATTCACTCTAAGACTCCAGCTGAACGTGGGCGGGTATCACTAGGTCATATGAACCCATTCACTGGCCGGCTGCTGTTCTTGATTATCTCAATAGCAGGTCAGTGCTCTGCCTAGACTATGTTTTATATTCCTGTCCAATAAAAAAAATATATGGTAAAACTAAATATTGCTGCCCACATTAGTCAAGTTGCTCTTTATGTTGGGAGGTAGCATGATTTTGAGGTTCAAAAAGGCAGACTCTGGAGTTAGGCTGCCTGGGTTCTAACCCCACTCCACCATGCACCACCGTTATCTGGCAAGTTACTTAGCTCCTCTGTGTGTCCGTTCCTCTGATGTAAGATGGGGAAAATAGCAGTGCCACCTAATAGGGGTGTTCTGAGGATCAACTGAGATAATATATGCAAAACGCTGAGAACAGTAATAGGCTTGTTCCCATTTCTTTCTGAAGATCTGCTGTATTCAGTGTCATAGCTAAGTCTTCCACTGGAGATTTTTAGTGTGTGCTCTCGCTTCTCCATGAATCTCTGAAGCTAGCCGGGAGTATTTCAGCAAATGTCCCCATGACTGAAGGTCACTACATAGTGAGACTGGCTGTCTAACTCAGGCAGTTGGAAGGAGGAAGGAAGGAAAGAAGGAATCAAAGAGCCTGCTTAGCCACTGTTCTTCCCATAATTATCCCAAACAACAAACTCTCTATGCAGACCCGGCAGTAGCGGTTCCCCAACCTTTTAAAAGAAGGGCTTTATTTTCACTTCTGTGAAGTCTTGAAATCATCAAAAGGGGAAGCCAACTCTAAAACACCTCAGTGGAGCTGGGAAAGGAGCACTTCTACTGGCTAAGTTTCATTTCCAAATAGAAAAGCATAACACCCACTGCAACCTGAAAACTCCTGTATAGTAAATGAAGCTTATCGTCATTGGTAATGCTTGTTCTGAGAATGGCTACATAGTGGCTTTAAAAGGGGCCTGGCTCTGAGGAAGGGGGAAAAAAAAAGCTAATACTTATTGAGCATTGACTATTTTCACATATATAATTGCATTTGATCTTTCCGACAGCCATCCAGTTTTGAGGAAAATGATGCTCAGACACTTTAGTAACTTGCAGAGGTGGCTTCTCTGTCAGCAGCAGTGTCAGAATTTGAACTCAGGACTTTGGTGACCAGCAATTAATTATCAGTTGGGGGCCATTTAATTTGTTTAACAGATTTTTTTTAACTCTTTCTGTGTGCCAGGAACCATGGTAAATATATAGATATAGAAAAGGACAAATGAGTCTCTACTCTCATAGGAACTAGAATCCAACAGGGGAGCTGACATATGTAAATACATTCCACTAATATACATTATAATCCCCTGGGACATAAACCAAGGGTTAAGCAAATTAAGGGTATTTGGGGAAGCCTTCTGGCTGGATACAGTCATAGTGGCAGGTGAGACATATGTGCTGATTCCTTTCTGCACCATTAGGAGCCTATAGAGTTGGCCACTTTAGAAGTACAGTAATACCTTGGTTTGCAAGCATAACTTGTTTCAGAAACAAGCTACTCGTATTGCAAGACATAGCTCGTTTACCAAGTTAAAATGTTTTAGAAATGTTTGCTTGTCTTGCGGAGCACGCGCGAACCACGTCACTCGCAGTCCACAGTTTCCCTGGACTTCAGCTTCTGCCATGAGAAGAAAAAGGTACAAAAACATCTGAGTGTTCACAGAACTGATATCCTGACTTCCCTGTACCCTCAATTTAAAGCTTTTGAGAATTAGTTATTCGTAGATTTGCCTCCATTACCAGCTTATAAGATCCTGAAAAACAGAGACTCCATCTCATTAACGTTTGAATCTTGTCCAGCACATGGAACAGTACCTCAAACAACAATCAGAGTTCCATAAATGTCTCTTATGCTGAACAGAACTGAATTGCTCAGAAAGAAGAAAGCCTGGTGTTTCTGTCTCTGAAAAGCCATGTTTTTTCTCCTGTGACAGAAACATTTTATTAATGACTAAATATGTCCTCTCTCATTGCCCAGCATCCTTGCAGTTAGGAAAGGCTACGTGAGTCGTTCTGGGCAATAATCTCTAAACAGAGGTAACGTATATCCTCTGGGACAAAATATTTAAGGGCCGGTAGACAAACCATTAGCTCCTATCTTTCCTTGCCATGGTGACTAGTCATGTTTTAGAAAGTGGAGCCTTTATCATCCTAGATCCCCAAATACCTAGGTGGAACATAGCCCGTCTCTTCATAATACATGTTGAGATGATGTAGCAGAAGCAAAAAATAAACTTCTTTATGTTTGGCCATTGAGATTTCAGGGTTAACTTGTTATTGCAGGATAGCCTTGTCCACACTGACTAATATAGCCCTCAATTGCTAAAATCAAAGAGATACTGTGGATGAAGCCAGCTCTGTTAGTCTCTAGGGAAGCTAATATCTGGGCTGAATCATAGGGTCAGAGAAAAGAAGCAGTACCCATTTATGGAAAACCAACTGAGTGAAACAGAGTCATCTTTGGTTTAGAATCGACTAATGGTTTTTTCCAACTGTTTACGGAACAGTTGGATGCTACAAAAGTACCCTACAAGTCACTGGTGAGGCACAAAGGATAGAGCAAGGGGGGACCCTGCCCCCAACCCTAAGCTGAACTTCACTTTTTCCTGTATTTTACATTGGGCTTCTATGGAAGACTTTGTCAAACTATTTGTCTTTTAATTGTAATTTTTTTAAAGGCTGGAAATCATTGATAAACTATTAGCACATTCACAAAGGAGAAAAATAGATAAAATCAAAATGACTATTCTGGGTAAAAAAAAAAAAGGATTGAGGCCATGTAAATTACAGTCACCTTGTCCCAAATAATTCTCATCTGATTTTCAGAAAAGATTGTTATATTCTTACTTTGAAATTCATCTTTAGCTACTTTCAGAGATGAGTTTCTTTTCTCTCTAATAATTATTTTTAAAATTTGGCAGTCACCTGCGCCTTAGTGAGTTTCCGATCAGTTATTGTAATTGACAGCTTTCTCCAGTCTAATGAACCAAGGCCACCAAGCTACTGTGATTGAAGTGTGGCCCAAAGAGTGTCTCCAGCAAAGCAATATTCTGCCAAAGTATGACATAACCAGATCATTGTCATCTTCTACATGGATTGTTCTAATCTTTTCACTTGGATAAAGATGAGATGTATGGTATGTCCTAAAAGAATGACTTATAAGGCAGTGTGATCTACCAGAAAAGAGTTCTGGTCTTTGCTACCTTGATGAGATCTCATCATCTCTGTGTTTTCTTTTCCTCAATTGAAAAAATAAGATGAGGGGGTAAGAGGAAAAAAAAATAATGACACTTGCCCTATATATCCCATGGCGTGTGTCTATGAGGATCAAATAATGTCATAATATGAGATAAAAGTAGTTGTATGTCTAGAATTAAAGATCCCCTCAGAAATGGATTTATAAAAAGAGACTTTGGCAGGCTGCTAGCATATAGTTTGATGAAGGCAATGCAAAGAATTCTGTAGCCCCTTTCACGTCTGGAAAGCGTGGCCGTATGGAGGGCACAAAGGGGCTTTCAGACAACCTTAAGGAAACAGCCTGGGGCCCATACACACTGTTCCTGCTTTCACTGGGGGAAGCATAAATCAAAGGCGGGTACTTCACTCTTTAATGGTACGTTATTTCCCTTTCAGTGCTGTTAAGAGTGCCCTGAAGTGACCACTTTCACAGAGGCTAAGAAAAGTAGTGTAGATGCACGAGAGAAGCTTTTTATTGCCCTATTGTCGAATTCCCTGAAAACTAGAGGAAATAGCTAAAATGGAGACACGCTACTGCCCTGTTTGTTTGTTTTTTCTTAATATCAAAGACCAAATCTGCTCCTTTTAGACTCTATTTTTCTGACTCAGGAAGGCCAGAAAGGATTACATGGAGTGTATAAACATGCACACACACACACACACACACACACACACACACACACACACACACACACACCCCAAGGCCACCTTGTAAAGATAAATAGTAAAGACTATTACCATTTAGTCTTCCTTTTTAAACTCTTAGTTGATATATTACTGCATTAATACTCGTTTATCTTTGAGTTACCTAATTTGCCCACCTTTCTGTTCTTGCAAATATTAAAAATGTCTTTTCAGACCTTAAGAAATGAGTTTGTACAAGTCTGATACTCAGCTCACCAACCCCCAGAGAAGCAACCTCCAGTGGCTAAGGGTGCATGGAAGTCCCAAAATAGAGACCTGACCTGCAGGGCACCACTTAATCTTTGCACCCTCCGTAAAGAATGCCATTGATATTTTGAAGCCGGCTGACATGGGTGGTGGGTTCTTTGTATCTGAAAGATGCCCTTGTTCTCTCTGCTCTTTCAGAAGTCCCACAACCTCACACAATCCCTTCAGTCACTTCTTGTCCCTTGTCTTGGAGCTCTGACTCACTTACCCAGGGGGATTTTTTCCAGCAGGTAGAGATAGCTCTGAAAGAAGTCATTGCGAATGGCTTTGTGAAGGATAAAGGACATGCTATGTCGGCAGAGTTCATCGTCGGTCTTCTGCCAGCGGGATCTAAAGGCCAAGTGGGCTCCCAGGTGGGCCATGGAGGAGGGGGATATTATTATTCCTACCGAGAGAGGAAGCTGGCCTGGCTGTTTCTTTGAATTAGCCTTCTCTTCCTACACGAACTTGAGACTGTCATTTTAAACCAGTGCCCTGTCCATCTATATCAGGACAGGCCGTCATGGGGCGTGGGGGGAGGGGCAGCAGACGTGAGGCGGTCAGGCTCTTGGCACGTCCGTGTCTGATTGCTTGGGCGACACCACTCCATGCCAGCAGGTGCTAAGTAAAGATGAAAAACAGGCTGAGGGAGATCCTGCTTCATCCCGGCTTGGCAGAGAAGTGCGTCTCCTTTAGCTGCCTCTTCAAACAGGCAGGCGCAGAGCCCGCTAACACCCTGAATATTTGCTTTAATTTGATTCTTAAATTGGAATAGCTGAATTTCCATTTCAAAGAGTTGTGAATATTTTGCAGGAGATCCTGTTGCCTGATTTCCATCCTCTCCTCCTGGAACACTGAATCCTCAAGTTACAAGGACCCTTCAAAGTCATCTTAGCCACTCGCCCTCCTTTCATCAGTACAATTTTGCCCAGATTGTTCCGTAGAGGTGGATATGTGTTTCCCATTTTTTAAGGATCTTCAAGAGACACGATTCTATGAAAGCCTGTTTTGATGTTAAATACCCTTCTGTCAGCAAACTATTCCATTTAGCTTGCTCTGAACGACACCTGGTCATGTCAGCCTGTTTCTTCCTCTCTGCCTATTGTGGATGTGACTTTGCTCCCAACTACTCATTTGCTCTCTGGACTGGGTGTCTTCTGATTGTCACTCCAGGTCCACACTCTACTTTCCTCGTGTTACTGTGTGGAGGCTGATCTGTATCGACTCCCTCTGGCTCCTAGTTGGGTTCGGCCAATTGGTGGTGCCAGCAAGGACCTGGGGGAGCGTGAGTCACCATATTTACTCCCCTGACGGCTTCCCCGAGGAAATGCCATAGGCAGACTGCTCCTGAAGTGGAGAATCATAGCTTCTGTCTTGGGGTCTTCCCGTACACATACCCTTTTCTAGGTCTGATAACGGCTCCCTCCTCTCGCTGCTTCAGGCCTTGGGGTGGAGGTGTGCCAGGCCGTTGCAAACCTGGAGAAATCCATGATTCCTTGTCACTTCCCTGCACTCACCCACACCTTTGTAAATAGCCCCTTTCCTAAACTGGCTAAAATTCTCAATTCATGAATGCCACCTGTTCCCTGTAAAGAACCATGGCTACCATTTTATCCCTTTAATGTTCCTAACAGGAACATCCACAGGAACTCAGTATTCCACCAGCCCCATACCATGTGCTTCACGCCTCTTCTGTTAGGTGGAGGTGATGGTAATCGTGTGTATCTCTTATGACTGTTGTGGGGACTAAATGCATCCCATGTAAATACGTCAGGGCTGGGCACACAGCACAATAAAATAAATGCTAACTATTAGCATCATAATCTTTGGGGGGGAAAGTTAATGGTGAGTTATGGGTCTTAAGAATACTTTACGTCTCTCTGGCTGTTCTTGGGTTACATTCACTGTGACACTGTCTCTTCGCATGCAATTTCACCACATATCGAGGCGATTATTTGCACTCGATGTATTTAAGAGTTGAAACAATAAGAAATCCCAACGCAGTGTGCTTTCAGAGCTCCTGCATCTATCCTTTAGAATTTTCTGTTGCTTTGGGGAAAGCTAAGCAACAAAAGAAGAAAGTGAAGAAATCTTCTCTGTTACTCATATTCGTCAATGCTTCTACCGGGAGGCAGGTTCTTAACCGTAACATTTCAGTCAGTTTTGATGACCTCTCATATACTGGTCAGGATGCTGGGTCTTAGGGGACAGACTGGCAATCGCTGACTCCGGCTACTCAGTATTCCTTATGTGGCGACTGGTATTGGCACGTTGCTCCCTCTTTACAGCCCGAATTTTCTTTCACTGTAAGATGGACATTAATTACTCACTTGGAGGCGGATTATTAAGGGTTCTAAGAGCTCTGTATTTCAGAACCATCATTTTTGAGTGGGAACGAAAGACGGATTGGTTTATACAAAATGCCTTTGTCAGCTTTTGTTTACCTCCGTGAGTCACATTAGATTTTGTGACTGTTTCTCATACCAATGTAGCTTGCACTCGTTTCTGGCTCATTGCATCTGTTTCCTTATGCGAATCATTTTTCTCTCGTAGCTGAAATGCTCTATTTGCTACCACCTCATACCACCTTGACCGTATTCATACTCACTGAGTGAGGTTCTGATATAGATCTCAAGTCTACCAGAGGCACCCAATTTCAAGATGAGAAAGGAAAACAATGAATGTAGAGGAGAGAAATAGGACCGTAGCAAGGGAAGGTGGGAACTCTGAATTTATCTGGGTTGGTTTGTCTTCTCACAAGAGATCCTTTGGTGAGGAGTAAACCACTGTTAAAAAATAAACTAGCATGCATGGAGACTCAGAAATAAGAACTCAAAAGGAAGCGCCAAAGCCCTATAGAAAGCATGCTCACCAGTAATGTGGTAAGCTAAATATTTGGGGAAATCCACTCAATATAAAATACATATCAAATTAAAATTCCATGTACCTTAAACTGAGATCAAGAATATTTCTAGATAAGCTGTTATTTATCTACAACCTATATTATTCAAGAGATGTTTTTTTTTCTCCCAGAGAACTTTTTTTAAACGATCATGATGTACCTGTTTTTCAATTCAGCAAACAATTGAGACATTCTCTTATACACGGCAATGTGTTAGACTCTTGATGAAAAATTAAATGTGATTTTCTCCCTGAGACTAATACTAACTTGCTGATACTGCCATAATACTAGCTAAGGCTTTAAATTGTAATGCCTATTCAATCCTTATGACAACTCTAGGAGGGAGGTTATTTTCCCATTTTACAAATGCAGAGAATGAGGTTTAGAAAGGTTAGGTTTTAGCTGAACATCACACAGCAAATAAATTGCAGAATCAAAATTTGAACTTGAATTTGCATGTGTGTGTGTGTGTGTGTGTGTGTGTGTCCATACCCATACTGGGTGGCTGAAACAAGGCTGAAATAAAAGTAATATGTTGATAGCTGAATCAGGATTTCCCAGCTCCCCACTCAGGAAGCTATATGGATTGCAAAGGTTGAAATAATAGGCCAAAATTAGCATAATTAACTTTAGGATAAAATTATCAATGTTCGAGTGTGTTCTTGTATGTAGGTTTTAGTGAAAATTAATGGTGAGATACAGGATAAATAATTCTTGCCTGATAAACTTAATGTGTATTTGTGCTGGAATGGGCATTTCAGTAGGCTTGAAGCTTGGAATGAGAGTGCAGTATAAACATTGTGCAAAACAGGCTTCACAGAGTGAGTCTTAATGCAGACCACTAGGCCTTACTCCACCCTACACTGGTCCAACCCGACATGGAGTGTTTGCCTCTTTCTTTATCATCTTCTGTTTAAGTATAGGCACCTCATCAAAGGTACCTCTGATTATATCTTGGAAGTCACTAACAAAGCCCATTACCCTATATGTGCCTGGAATATATGCGACAAGTGGGAGTTTAGGTGACTATTTTCAACCACTTGTAGCACTTCATGGATACAAAAAGGCTGTCCATTGGGCATCGAACCTATTGGATTCAAGGTCAGCAGTCAGGTCTCAACTTAACACTCATTATTAAATGAAAATGGGGCTTGAGAGAAATGACCCTTTGCAGCTGAAGAAGTATATAACCATCATTTTCAGGTTAAGTCATTCAGTTTAACAGACAGAAATGCTGGCGGGACCTTTGTAGACTCCTTGCTGTCTTATGAGGAGGAGAATTCAGCCGGGCAGCTTCTCTCTCATTAGGGGGTTTGAGCATTCAGAAAAAAAAATACCTTCGCATCTTTAATAAAGGGGATAGTGTCCCTGCCTAAAACATGTTGTGTGTGAATGTGCGCGCACACGCGTGTGTGCTTTTCTCATTTCCCTCATTTATGTTAATTGAAGAAACTATACAACATTGAAGTGCATATCACTCTCCCTTAAAATATAGCAATGCTTGATTTCATGTAATTTAGTATTTCAGTATGACCCCAGGTTGGTAACGTGCATAGAACGCTATATAGGCAAATTCATCTTTGCACGTTTTCCCTAACCAAAAGATGTTAGATAGTTATTAAGAATAGAAAAGGACATTATACATTCTTTTTTCACCTTACTTTGACGAATTAAGAAATAAGGTGAAGTCTCAGGCTGGCATCCTCATGGTTCCGTTTTCCCTTCCGTGGGTCCCCCTGACCTCCCATCGTAGGAGAAAGGCAAGTGGGAGAAGGAAGCAGCAACGTGCATTTGGCTGTAAAGAGAACCCCTCCTGTCAGTGCTAATGGGTCTTTCGGGCCTGGGGACAGCGTGCAGTGAGGTGGGTGAGCAGGTGGGCCCGGCCTTCCCACCTTCGCGCGGGAAGCTGGAAGAGCGGGCTTTAGTTCTGATAGGTGAGAAGTCTGCACAGACTGTCGCCCGGAAACGGAAACCGTGCCCTGCCCCCATGCGCCCCCGTCATCAGTGCTGCTCCCTGGCCTGGCGTCCTGGCTCTGACTCACCTTGCCCCTCGCTTTCCGCTCAGCAGCGTCGCCCTAAGTACACGCGTCGCCACGCTTTTCCGACGGTGCAGTCCAGATTTGGCTTAGACTGGCCTCTGATGTGCAGCTGGAAGCGAACACGTCAGGACCAGACAGGAATCCCAAGGAGCCCTAAATACTGAAAAGAACATTCTGCCCCCCACACAAAATGTACCAAATAAAAACATTTTATTGTTTGATATTTGCCTCCCAAATACC